AAAAAAAAACTATATTCGGTGCGGTTCGGTTAAAACCGCATCATTCGGACAAAAAACCGAATCGCACCGAAACTTGTGCGGTTTTCCAAAAGTTTAACCGCACCGAAAATTGAACCTTAAAAAACTGAACTGAACCGCACCGAATACATCGGTTCGGTTCGGTTTTTCGGTTTCAGCTCGGTTTTGCTCACCCCTAAAGCTCATTTCTTCTGAATTTGAAATGAACTCGGTAGGTGAACTTGCATATTTTATCAAATTTCAGATAAAATAAGGTAAAAATAATATTTTTCTCCATCAAAGTAAATATGTTGAAAATTTGGTTAAGTTTGGTCAACACCTCAATTTTTTATTTATATAAATTTGATTCATTTTTATGAACTTCATGAAACATACAACATAGGAACACAACACTCGATCAAAATATTTTGTATTAGCACAACAAAACAACAAATCATGGGACTCATCGAGAACATTGAAAGCACAAACATGCCCATGATCAAGCTTTGAATTGTTTAGATATTTCAAAAGACATCCCAAGCTCACACTTACAATAATTATTTATAGGATGCTATTATTGGACTATTCATATTTTCAATTTCATCAATGATTTCGATGATTGTTCTATGTACGTTATTAAAAACTACCAAGATAATAGCATTATTGGCATTTCAATAATGTATGATTCGTATTTTATATCTTTTTTATTATCACATCGAGATATTTAATTAGAAATAACCATATTTTAACTAAAAAATTTCAAAACATGTTTGAAGGAAAAAAAAGCTTGCTTGTATATTAAAGTACGTTCACCTGAATAGTATTTAAATTTATTTAAAAGATTAATAAATTAGACACTCTAATGAAGAATCTAAACTTTTTTTTTTTAAAAATTTTTAATTGTTTTCAATACACAAAACTAAAAAACGTGAAACTAATCGGACGGTTGGTGTGGAGGTGGACCACATAATCATGAATATCACGAAAAGTGGAGGTTTTAGCCACACACACGATAACAGTTGTAACTCCCCCACATTAGAATTTCCCGAATATTTATTATTGTTATTATTATTATTATTATTATTGGAAAATGCTATGATCTCGGTACACGTTACGATATGATTTGTAATTGTTAAATCATCATATAACAATCGTGGTTAGTTGATCTAACAATTACAAACCGAAATAATCAATCATATAACTGCGTTACGTCAGGGCATTTTGGTGACGCGAGTCGCACGCTGTCATCAACCGCATCGTAAATCTAGGGAAATCTTTTGTTTATTTATTGTTATTGTTATATAAGAGCAAACCACCGGAGATTT